GCTACTCAGCACAGCAACACTGCACCCTAGTTTAAAGGTTGAAAAGGTTGCTGTGATGGAAGGAGCACCACACTAGGATTAAGAAGACTAGGAATTTTCAGTTTGCAAGAGAACGGACATGACTGATTATATCAGCAAACTACAATTAAAATATGTTAAACCGTAATGCTGTTAAATTCAGGAAAATTGCCAACACATGTTATGAAACTATGCTTTTCTTTTTCCAGTGCTAAAAAAAAATGCAGTCTATTCATGTACAGTTAAACGCCAAATGCTATTCATTCTATAAAAACAGCTGGTACTACTCTGCTCTACACGAATCTTCTCACAATTTTTCTTCTGATACACATTTTTCTAAGCATTGTCAGTTATCACTGGTAGTAAACTGAGAAAACAAAAGGCATAACAACATTTTTCCAGCATTTGGCCAAATAACTATTGACCACAAAAGAGGCCTCTAAAACCATTTCCAGCAGGAAAGTGTCATCTCATAAGAACACTACAGATCAGTGTTTAACACTGAGGATTTTTATTACCCCACCATGTCATAAAAAGCAATGTAGTAGCTTGTTAATTATTTTGAAGGGGAAGGGAGGGGAGGGAAGGGAGCATTAGATGTAGTAAGGGCAAGAAACTTGTTTCAAAAATACCAGGTCCCAGTACAGAATACATTAATCAAAAAAGTATGAAAACTAATGGTATGGAGTCCTACTTGAACAAAACCTTTTCTTTGCACAAAACACAGCATTGAGGACTGAAAAAACTTAGGTTCCAATTGCCACTTAACTAGATCTGTGAAGCCGGGTAATCTCTATAAACCTCAATTTCTCATCTCTAAAGAAAGTTAATGTCATCTACCATACAGGGTTTTTTTTGAGGATTTCAGATAAGATATGGAAAGCATTTTGCACTTAGTAAATGCTCAATGAACAGTGGCTATACTTACTGAGTTTCTGGTGATGTAAACAGGTAGATTTCCCAAGGTTATATATATAAATTTATAAGCTCATTTCCTGATGAAGATTTCAATTCCGTTAAAAAACAAAAACATCTAAACTTATGAAAAAAATATGAAATGCTTTTGACGTCTTTCCAGACATTACTAAGTTTAAAGGTTAAGTTGTTAAAACACGCTCCTAGTTATGCAACAAACACACAAGACCATGAGTTAGTCTGTAAAAGATTGCATTAGCCTATGCTGCTGAAATTAATTTGAAAAATATCTCTAAAAAATTATTTCCAACTTTCTTTTCATCTAAATTAACAAGTTTCGGTTCAAAAGCTCATCAATGTTCTTCTAATTATAAGATCTCCAACCCCCCTCTCGATTAATAATAACAAAACAATAATGATTAAAATTCACATATGTACATATACATATGACAACAACATACATATATATGTCTGTGTGTATCTATAGACATATAGTTGTTGTTTTTGTTGTTAAGTGCCATCAAGTCGATTCCAACTCATAGTGACCCCTATGTACAACAAAACCAAACACTGACAGTCCTATGTCATCCTCACAATTGTTGCTATGTTTGAGCTCATTGCTGAAGCCACTGTGTCAATCCATCTCATTGAAGGTCTTTCTCTTTTTGTTGACCCTCTACCAAGCATGATGTCCTTCTCCATGGACTGGTCCCTCCCAGATAACATGTCCAAAGTATGCAAGATGAAGGCTCGCCATCCTCACATCTAAGGAGCTTTCTGGCTGTACTTCCAAAACAGATTTGTTTGTTGTTCTTCTGGCAGTGTACAGTATATTCAATATTCTTTGCCAACACCATAATTCAAAGGCATCAATTCTTCTTCAGTCTTCCTTATTCACTGTCCAGCTTTCATATGCACACGAGCCAAATGAAAATACTATGGCTTGGGTCAGGTACACCTTAGTCCTCAAAGCGAAATCCTTGCTTTTGAACACTTTAAAGAGGTCTTTTGCAGCAGATTTGCCCAATGCAACATGTCATTTCATTTCCTGACTGCTGCTTCCATGGGCATTGATTGTGGATCCAAGTAAAATGAAATCCTTGACAACATCAATATTTTCTCCATTAATCATGATGTTGCTTTTCGGTCCAGTTGTGAGAATTTTTGTTTTCTTTATGCTGAGGTATAATCCATACTGAAGGCTGTGGTCTTTGATCTTCATCAGTAAGTTTTTCAAGTCCTCTTTATTTTCAGCAAGCAAGGCTGTGTATCTGCATATTGCAGATTGTTAATGAGTCTTCCCTCAACCTTGATGCCGCACTCTTCTTCATATAGTCCAGATTCTCAGATTATTTGCTCAGTACACAGACTGAGTAACTATGGTGAAAGGATACAAGCCTGACACACACCTTTTCTGATTTTAAACCACGTGGTACCCCTTTGTTCTGTTCCAATGACTCCTCTTGGTCTATGTACAGGTTCTGCATGAGCATAATTAAGTGTTCTGGAATTCCCATTCTTCACAATATTATCCATAATTTCTTATGATCCACACAGTCAAATGCTTTTTCATAGTCAATAAAACACAGGTGAACATCTTTCTGGTATTTCTGCTGTCAGCCAAGATCCATCTGACATCAGTAATGATATCCTTCATTCCATGTCCTCTTCAGAATCCAGCTTGAATTTCTGGCAGTACCCTGTCGTTGTAATGCTGCAACCGTTTTTGAATGACCTTCAGCAAAATTTTACTTGTGTGTGATATTACTGATATTGTTCGATAATTTCTGCATTCTTTTGGATCACCTTTCTTTGGAATGGGCACAAATTTGGATCTATTCCAGTTAGTTGGCCAGGTAGCAGTCTTCCAAATTTCTTGGCATAGACAAGTGAGCACTTCCACCATTGCAACCATTTGCTGAAACATCTCAACTGGTATTCCATCAATTCTTGGAGCCTTGTTTTTCACCAGTGCCTTCCATGCTGCTTGGACTTCTTCCTTTCACACCATCAGTTCTTGATCGTAGGCTACCTCCTGAAATGACTGAACATCAACCATTTCCTTCTCGTACAGTGACTCTGTATTCCATCTTCTTTTGATGCTTTCTGCATCATTCAACATTTTGCCCATAGAATCCTTCAATATTGCAACTCGAGGCTTGAATTTTTTCTTCAGTCCTTTCAGCTTGAGAAATGCTGAGCATGTTCTTCCCTTTTGGTTTTCTAACTCCAGGTCTTTGCACATTTCATTATAATAGTTTACTTTGTCTTCTCAAGCCACCCTTTGAAATCATCTGTTCAGTTCTTTTACTTCATCATTTCTTCCTTTTGCTTTAGTTACTCTACATTCAAAAGCAAGTATCAGAGTCACTTCTGGCATCCATTTTGGTCTTTTCTCTTTTTCTTGTCTTTTTAATGACCTTTTGCTTTGTGTATGATGTTCCTGATGTCATCCCACAACTCATCTGGTCTTCAGTCATTAGTGTTCAATGCATCAAATCTATGTTTGAGATGGTCTCTAAAATCAGGTGGGATATACTCAAGGTTGTACTTTGACTCGTATGGGCTCGTATGTCAGTTTGTCATATTGTGTGTTGCTGTGATGCTGGAAGCTATGTCACTGGTATTTCAAATACCAGCAGGGTCACTTATGGTGGGCAGGTTTCAGCAGAGCTTCCAGACTAAGACAGACTAGGAAGAAGGACCTGGCAGTCTACTTCTGAAAAAATCGGCCAATGAAAACCTGATGAATAGCAGCAGAACATTGTCTGATATAGTGCCAGAAGATAAGCCCCTTAGGTTGGAAGGCATTCAAAATACAACTAGGGAAAAGCTGCCTCCTCAAAATAGAGTCAACCTTAACGACATGGATGGAGTAAAACTTTCAGGACCTTCATTTATTTGCTGATGTGGCATGACTCAAAATGAGAAGAAACAGATGTAAACAGCCATTAATAATTAGACCGTGGAATGTACGAAGTATAAATCTAGGAAAACTGCAAGTTGTCAAAAATGAAACGGAACATTTGAAGATCGATATCCTAGGCATTAGTGATCAGAAATAGACTGGTATTGACCATTTTGAATCAGACAATCATATGGTCTACGATGCCAGGAATGACAACTTGAAGAGGAACAGCATCACATTCATTGTCAAAAAGAACATTTCAAGATCTATCCTGAAATACAGTGCTGTCAGTGATAATATCCATACGCCTACAAGGAAGACCAGTTAATACGACTATTATTTGAATTTATGCACCAACCACTAATGCCAAAGATGAAGAAATTGAAGATGTTTGCCAACTTCTGCAGTCTGAAATTGATCGAACATGCAATAAGATGCATTGATAATTACTGGTGATTGGAATGTGAAAGCTGGAAACAAAGAAGGAGGATCAGTAGCTGGAAAATAATGGCCTTGGAGATAGAAACGATGCCAGAGACCACATAATAGAATTTTGGAAGACCAACAACCTATTCATTGCAAATACCTTTTTCACAACAACATAAACGGTGACTATATGAAGGCCTTGCCAAATGGAATACACAGGGATCAAACTGACTACATCTATGGAAAAAGATGATGGAGAAGCTCAGTATCATCAGTCAGAAAAAAGGCCAGGGCCAACTGCAAAGCAGACCATCAATTGCTTATATGCAAGCTGAAGAAATAGTTGTACAGATTCATTCTAATGGCTGTATGTTATCACTGGGGAGACATCATCACCATAACAGCAATAGATAAATAACACCAAAAAGATATACATTTGCATATGCCAAAAATAGAAGCAGGCAATCTATTAATTAAACCACAAATAATTTATCTCATTTTTCTGAGAACTCATCAATCTTTAAAAAATGCAATATGATTAGTCTATTTCATTTCTATCCCAAGATAAATGGTACTTGCTTCTGCACTTTAAAAAGTTTCATGTGTTTTAGGAATTCTTTCCAGAATAAAACTTATTACCCCCCCCCCTTTCAAAAACATTAATTCAACTCCGGAATTCAAGCTATAACACCGCACTCCCTTCCTTAGCAAACCTTCCTTTCTGGTAACATACCTGTTCTCTGGAAATACAAGGCAACGAAGGTCTCCTGAACATTTTGCAATTGCCATAGTAACTGGCTGAAGTCTCTCCTAACGACACGCAGCTGGACCTCCTCCGGGGTCTGATCACAGGCACTTTTTCTTCCGCGGTACTGGACAACCGAGGATGATGAGGAGCTTCCCTGATTTGAAAGAAGTGATCCAACCCGAGGGCCAGCAGGCAGCCAGCGCTCCCCACCAGACAGGACAGCAGCGGCCTGAGGGGTGCTGGCAGCGATCCGAGGCTGGTGAAGGAGACCCACCACACGAAGCTGGAGAAGAGCAGTACCAGGATGCTGTGCTGGAGCCTCACCGGGTGCACGAGCGTCAGCAAACCCACACAGCTCAGCCCCAAGAACAACCTGCCCAACGGGGCCGGGGGCAAGTGCGGAACCGGGGGCGTGTGCGGAGGCTCGGGAACCTCTGCGCCTCCGTCCTCCCACGACGAAGACCACAACTGCCACACCAAGAAGTCCCCCAGGTAACAGCAGGCGGGCAGCGCTAGCAGCCACCAGCAGCCGCCGCCGCCGATCCGGCCCGGCCCGGGGCACCGCTTGGTCCGGGTCAGGAAGCAGGTGAGGAAAAAGAAGGCACAGGCGATGCTGAAGAGAGGGCTGAGGCTGTGCGAGCAGACGCTCAGCAAAGTCCGCAGCAGGGCGGCCCCCGCAGCCCAGCTCCCGGGCCCGGAGCAGAGCAGCAAGGCGAGGACAAAGGCTGCCAGGGCGCCCAGCGAGAGGCGCGCCAGGGAGAATGGGGAGCCGCGCCGCGGCTGCTGGGGGGAGGCCGGCGGTGGCAGCAGCAGCTCCACGTTGCAGAAGCGGCAGAGATGAAAGAAGAAGCCGCGAGGAGGATCCTGGGGTAAGGGGCTCACGCAGCTCTTCACGTAGCCGTTCCTCAGACTCTCAGGGGGCGAGCCGGCCCCGTCCAGAGGCTGAGGGTACCGCATAGCTTTGGCGTCTCGTTCGTCCCTCCTCATGGCCGGGATCGGGGGTGGCCGCGGGGCTCAGCACGCCCTGCTCGGACGCAGCGGCCGCTCGCGCTCCCTGACCCCGTCTCTCGCGTTCGGGCGCCCCCCGACTCCACAGCGCGTCAGGGCTGCGCCCGCCGCCGCGGTCCGGGGTCCCCGCCGCGCGGGCGAAGGAGCGGCGGAGTCCGCGACATGCTGGCTGAAGAAAGGGACCGAAGGGGCTTCACTCTGGGACCGCTTCAGCCGCCCCCTCCTTTTCCCTTGGGCACCTCTCGGGACTGGAGACTTGGCGTCGCCTCCCAGCTCCCTCTGGCTGCAACAGTTAGCTTACGGCCTCAGCCTGGTCCGTTGGGCGCGCGAGCAGCGGGCCGGCGAGCGGCGGGCGCTCCTCCCCCAAGACTCCAGGGCCGGGCGCGCGCCCCGCACGCCGCACGCGCGCGCCCGCGTTCCGTCCCACCGACACAAGCGCAACAGCTCGCCAGGCAGCTTGCCGCGGACGCGAGCCGGAGACCCAGCTGACTGAGTGCGTCGTAGCAGAGCAGGGCGCTGCGCGGCCGCTAGAAGACCGACCCGGGCTGGGAGAGACTGGCGGGGATTCTCTTCGACTTGGAAGGGGGCAAGCCCGCCACCCTGGAACCCTAGGCGTGCAAGTTCCCCTTGGAGGTAAGTCACTGACACTGGAACAGGCCCCTACAGGTCTTGGGGAAAGGGGGCGTTTGTGGTCATTAAGGCGAATGCCTCGCAAGGATACCGAGCTGTGAGGGTGCCACCTGTGACCTCAGCCCTGTTTAGGGTGGGCCCTCAGACTGCCCAAGCTGAGATGTGTGACCTAGTGAGGGCCAGCCAGCACTATGAGCATGGCGAAGAAACCCTAATCACTGTGGTGAGGTCTGTCCTCAACAGCTACGTGGATTCCTGGGCCAAGCACCAGGCCCAGGATCCTCGCAGTAGCTCTTACCGGAGGAGCATGCACGTGGACTGCTCTCTGGGACCATCCAAATATGTGTGAGCTTGTCTTCCTCAAGAACCATCTTCACAGGTAAGGAACTAACATCCCATCTACGGCTTTGCACCCTTGCCGTACATAATCACTGGTTCATGTCCGTGTGCCCCTCCAACACAGCATAGAAATTTTGCTGTTACAAATGTTCTTTCCAAGTTGAATGCTTTTTCACTGTAGCAGTTCTAGAGGAGAAGGGATGCGAGGGCTGGGATTCATCTCCAACACCATTCCTCAGTTTGGATCATTGCCTTTGAAAGAAACCAAATAGGATGCTATCTGTGAAGTACTGGTGAAACTAGCAACATGTCGGAAACAGTGACTTGAAAGCGGGGAAACCAAAGGGACTCTTCTGGAATCTAACCGATCATAACTGCCTTAAAGAGTGAACCGTGTTTCCCTCCACCAAAACTCTCCCTTCCTCATGACAGACCTGCATTTCTCAAAGAGCTAATTCCAGGGAGATGAGAAACCTTACTGTGTGGTGAATCCCACAAACAGGCCCATTTTTCACTAATTAATCTCTGCCCACAGCATGACCTAAAACAGACCATTTTCGTATGTGGGCATAGTTCACATATAAGTAGAAATCACTGAAAAATTAGCACAAGAATGTAACCAAAATGGAAAAAAAAAAAAGAATTCCTTTTCTGTATATTGGTTAAAGGAAAAAATATTTAGTAGAGGTTTCAAATTGATTTCTCAAATGCTTGTCCTAAAAGAAAAATCCACTGTGTCTTCTTTCCACCATGACAGTTGAAAGCCAAAAAAAAACTCATCTCAGCAAAACTCACTAATATATTTTTAAAACAGTATGCACAGAACTCATCGCCACTAGTCAAAGATTAAAGTAGGAAATTTAATGGATACATTTTGAGCTTGTACAGAAGGGCATGACAAAAATTAGCACCAGCATTACTGAAATGCCCATTATAAATTCTCATAGGAAACAAAACATTGATTTGAAAATTAGAACAGATTCAAACTAATTTTTTTTTAACCTGGGGTTACCATCTGAGGTAGGAGAGGTATAGTAATAGAAACTGTAGTGGGCTAGAAATCCAATTTCGTGGGTTCTAGTCCTGACCCTGCCATTCATACCCTGGCCTTAAGTAAGTCATATAACTTTTATAGATTTCAGGCTTCTTGATTGTAAAATGAAGCAATTCAATTTAAATGACCTCTAAGATCCCCTCCAGTCTTAAAAAGTTACAATTTCTATGTACCAAAAATATAAAGCATCCTTAGGATCCACCTTTCAGATTGCCAAGAGCAAGGTCTGAATTATTTATACCACCAAGTTAAACCAGACTCTTAGTATTGACAAAAATAAAGGTATTTCTATCAATGGAAGATAAAAATTCAAAGCCCTCTCCATAAAACTCTTTTACTTCTCAATTTTTCGGTCTTCTGTCATCCCAGGTCTTTATGTAGTTAAAAGCCCAATTCTTGCCATAACCCAGAGTTGTACTGCACTGGTCTGAACACCAGCCCACCACCTAAGAGGATTCTAAAATAAAATGTAAGGACGTGACCAAAGACCATCAGAAGTTTACTTAACTAAAAATATGCACAAAATGAATGAGCTAGCATTGTTTATAGCAACTCCCTTCTTGTTTACAGTCTTTGTCAAAGATTATTACTAGGCCACATTTCTTAAAGGTCAAATTATTTAATTATTTTTCTGCCAGACCCAGCCAATGGAATTACTTAGCTCTTGTCTTTGCATTCAAGTTTTTATGGCCATTATCTGTTGTGAAAAAAAGTCCTAAAGTCTCAGCATACCTTTCTCAGCACCCTCTACTCCAACCCCATTTTACCAGACTTTGCCTTCCCTCCCTATGATCTCTTCACCTAGAAACACCCTCCCAGTTTGATGATCCATGACATGGGATCCTGGTGCTTAGCATCTATCTCCTGAGTTGTCATGGTGCAAAGCAACTCTCAGGCTCCAAAGACCTAGTTTTCCCGTGTACACAGTTTATAGGGTGAGAATTTTGTTTCGTTCTCCATTTTAAGTACCCAATAAGCTGCCAATGCCCTGGTTAACTATGGAAGAACTGAAACCCTCCTTAAATCCAGTCAGTCCCAGGGCCTAAAGCTCTGTCCCTAAACACTAGTCTTGTGGCTAAGTACCCTGTTACCCTTGACAGACCTTCTGGATACCACCTGCCTGCCCACTTGTCTGAACTTACAAGCACTAGTTGGGATGTCCCATTACTGGACCCAGCCCAGCTGTTAGAACACTCTCTTCTTCATCCAGGACTTCTGGTGCTAACAATTGCTGGACTGGAAATGGCCCTCCCTGTGAATTCCTTGCCCTCATCTTGAACCCTCATTCTCAAGGAAGTCAAAATAATGGATGAGTCTCATATTAGGTCTCAGCCCCTCCTCCTTACCTTCCCTGTCTTCTGGTAAGTGTACTAAACCCTCCCCCGCCCCAACTCCTTGTGCTTTCAACCTTATTTTAAGAAGACAGGATTATTTCCTAACTCTAAAATCCAGATATAAAGAAAATCCATTTCTAGAAGGTATTCCCATAAATATTTTTTCAAAATTAAATATTTTTAAATAAATCTTAGCAGCTCCACCTATTGGTGACTGTATTATAGTTATTGTAATAGAATATAAGTAGGAAGGGGTGGGACAGGAGGTTGGATGAGGACTGTCCAACCATTGTCACTTGTCAGACAAATAACCCATTATCAGGTGACTCTTCAGGGTCTGACTCCTCAGGATAATTTATGGAGAAGCCTCTAAAGATTTTCTAAGAGCAGTTGAAAAGCAGTGAATAATGGTTACCAGTCCTTAAAGTACTTTTTGTTACTGTTCCCAGTCTACATTGTCACCTTTCAACCATGGTTTTAAAACATTTTTCCAAAGAAATGTTACGCAAATGAAAGTACACTGCTCTGGTTGAAGGGGAGGTATCCAGGACCAGAGCCTAACAACTCAGCAGGTCACTGACAACTCCTACCCTGGAGCCCCACTTTGGAGCTCTTGGACTCTTAAAAACAAAGAAAAAGAAAGAAGGAAAAGGAAAAGAAAACCTCTGAAATAGACTATTAAAATGGATTTTAATTGGATTCGGGAGAATGCTTAGAAGAACTGAGTACTCTTCCTAAGGGTAATATTCCAGAATTCAGTAGTAAAAAAAAAAAAAAAAAAAACCCTTTGCCACTGAGTTGGTTCCGACTCATAGGAACCCTGCAGGACAGAGTAGAACTGCCCCCACGAGGGCTCCAAGGAGTGGCTAATGGATTCGAACTGCCAGCCTTTTGGTTAGCAGTCAAATGCTTAACCACTACACCACCAGAGCCCTCTTCAAATAATAAAGCAGCCCTAATTTCTCAGGGATAAAGATATAAAGCAGTCTTGACAAATTTTAAATATCAAAGAAACTTTCAGGAATAGTCTGTAAATTAACCAGTGTCATTGAGATTCCAGATTTCTAAAGCTAGATTCAGTCCATAAGATACATGAAAACCTTATAACAATTTATGAAAGAAATAACATTTACAAACTTATATTTGAATATAAATTTGTCTCCAATATAGAAAGGATCATACTATTTTCAATGCGCCAGTGGGAACTCTTGCTCTCATATGTTGTAATACCGACTTTCCTTCCAAAAAATACCTCAGAGTCTGAGCCTTACTTTGACTCTTTCCTTAGTTCCTCTCAACAGATATTCATTGAGTACCCACTATATGCAGAGCACTGTGCTAAATGCTGTTTAGAACATAAAAGAACTATAAAATTCCTTCCAAGCTTCCTCAGAGTTGCAGTTTCATCTGGGACATAAAGCATGTGCATATAGACTGTTAAAGAGCACGAGGGAATATATGGTAAAAACTGTTGAGAACAGTGCTTTGGGATTATTACAGAAGAATCATTCTCCTCCAAAGTCTCCCCACTCTGTGGTTGTCTCAGCTTGTTCTCATGATTTGTTCCTTTTCTACCAGTTCCAGTTCTCTCCTTTACTGTCCATCTTTCTCTCCCCATTGTCTGTCTTTCTATCAGGGCTTCGGAGTGGTTCATTCCTGCTGATAATTTACATTTCTAACAAGTTCCCTGCTGAGAATTTGCATCTTTAACAAGTTCCCAGGAAGTTATACATAAGAATCACCTGGGGATCCTGTTAAACTATTTTCTGATTCAGTATATCTACAAATTCTCAGCAGGGAACTTGTTAGAAATGCAAATTCCCAGCAGGGATTCAAACCAGGACGAACCAGTTCGAACCTGCTTTCTATCTCTCTCTCCTCTCCTCCTCCTCTTTCATCTCTGTTTAATTCTTCCACTCCCTT